CAGGTGGTGCTGGACTTCCTGCCAGCAGGGAAAGAGGCTGGAAGAGGAGGGGCGCAAGCGGGTTGGATCGCGGCTGGGTAGGGCAACAATTACAAGTACAGCTGGGTGGAAAATCTGTTGTCAGGATATGGTTGGGAGGAAAACAGTAGCAAGAAGATGACTGGGAAGTTGGCGATGGAAGTCAAAGGAAGGTAATCACCACCAAGGAGAAGGGATACAGCCATAGCACTACCTTTTCCGTTGGATACATCCTCGAGAGGAAAACTGAACGACGACGGCTGTCTACACAGAATCCGAAATCAGAATATGACAAAAACTAAAACCTGGGGCATAAAAACACATATAAAAAGAAGAGAGATCGGCGGGAAATTAAAACATGAAGGGCGGAAATTCCTGTCTATTGAAAAGTGGGGGAAGGTGTCGGTTCAGCCCCCTCTCTCAACTGAACCGGGTCGGGCCAAGCCACTTCATATTTTGGAGGAAAACCCCTGTGTCATTCTCCTAGGTAGCTTCGACCTCATTCGTTGAAGCTCATGGATCCTCATGGTAGTATGTCGATCATGACGGATATTTGTCATTTCACAACACATTCTCGTAGAATAGGTAGTCATCCTCTTTTGGCACATACTGAACGGAAGGTGCACATATAGGTGGGTTCCCGCAATGCAACTCTCGAGCCCTTACATTTGAAATCTTCTTCTTCCACTTCTCATGCCCAAGGTGTGGTGGTTGAGTAAAAAGTATGTGAGGAGAACTCAATTTTAGGATAAAATTTGGGGCAGACTGCGCCACCCTCAGTAGCGATCACTTAGGAGCAATTTTTTCTTCAGACAGGACTTGGATCTCATTGAAAATTTTTCATCACATTTTAGAGTTGACGCTCAGCCCACCCGCCTGGAAATTTGTTGATTGGTGCTCCGCTGAGCTAAATCTAACATCTAAACTACTTATTGTAATAGTCCAGGCATGACACATAATGACTCCTCTTTGGACATGTTGGACTTCTTTCCGTAGGGGCAACTCAAGAGAGAGTCTATAGATCTGACATATCTGCCTTTCTCTTGTCCGTGGGAATCATGTGTGATGTTGGCTCCTCCAACTCATAACTGCATTGGGCACTTACAATGAAGTCAGTTGGAGTCTATTCCAATCTTGTCCTCCTCAACTGGAAACGGGTTCTCCTCGTTTATATCATCGCCGTCTTCAGTGTTTGTGGTGTATCTACCCAACTTTTTTATGACGCCCTTATTGGTGAAGTAGATCATTCCCCTGGTTGTGCGTTATGCTTCAACATGTCCAAATTCATGGCACTTGCAACATTTTCTAGTTGCGATTGACTTGCGAAATGGTTTCGTTGGATACTAGCAAGGGGGGTCGCTTAGTGATGCAGCCTCTCCGCTTCAGAAGCTAGAGTCTGCAAATTTTAGCGGCAGTAAATTAGAAGGAACTGACACTGTGTTTCTCGCTTCATCTTCATATTTTCTCTTTCCCCTTTCGACCTTTCGGATCACGGTCGAGGGTAGTCTTCCATTGGATTTCATCTTCCATGTCTGTAATCCACCGCCGAAGTCGACGGATCTCTCGCCGTATCTCCTCCCGCAATGGCTCGGGCATGTATCTCAATGGTGGCATGACTAGGGTTTAGTGTTGGGAGGAGTGAGAGGGTATAGATGACTCGTTGAGGGTGTAAGAAAAGCAATTTATGGTTGCTGATTTTGAAAATCAGCAACGGGGAGTTAGGGTTTAGTCAAGAATTTGGCTAGGTTTGGGAACAAAGAAAAATTTCGGTAGAGGTGGCTTGGGTAGGGGCGGATACTAGGGAACCCTAGGATAGAATTCAGGTTGGGCTAACTCTGATACTAAATGATACCGGAAGAAACACAAATCACAATAGAAAAGACAAATATCTTTTTATATAATAAAGGATTCATAAAATTGAATTGATATTATGTATATAAGATATGCAATTCGTAATCTTTGTTCTTAGCCAAACATCAATGAACAATTAAAATTGGTTTGTTCATAAACGAACCATTTAAACCGAATTGAATTTCGGTTCGGTAAGTTCAGGTTGATCAAATTTTAGATTGGTTTGGTTTTCAGGATTCTAAATTTCAGTTTGGTTTTATCAATTTTAAAGTAAATCCATACAAACCGACCAAATGCTTACCCCTAAAGAGAATGAAAGCCTATCATAAAAATGGAAGCATGCTCGATGAAATAAAAACATCAAACTTGGCCAAAAAACAACCTGCGGATAATGCATATAGTTCGAAAATACCACCACACAAGAGATCGGAGAAGAGAGGATAAGAAAAACGAAAATCAAAAATACCTTGTGTGGGATCGGTTGAACTATCGGAGGTGAGAAGGCAGAGAAGCTAATGCAAGGGCAAAATCTGGAATGAGGGTTCAGAACGAAGGAGGGGCGACAAGAGTGTTCACCCATGTCTAGAATGCAGAACGCAGAGCAAAGGGCACGGCGTGGAATGAATAGTAAAATGAGCTATGTTTGAGCAGCAGCGAACGAAATGAAAAAAATAATGCCATAAAATGCAGTTAGAACCCGCGCCGCTGCCGTGTCGGTCTCACAAACGCATAGTTAAATTGTATGACAAAATGTACGTTTACAAACAATTAATGGATAGTTTTTACAAATACCTTGCCCAAACTAAACCTTTTTTTTTTTTTTTGAAAGGGGACAGATGATATACTTCCCGAAAATAACCTCCAAGAAGTCAGGTGGCAGCGTTTAAGAGAAATTAGACAAATTCTTTATGGTATTCACATACAATGGATGCTAATGATTTTGTAAAATAACTGAATCATACTTCTGCTAAAATATAAAATATTGTACTTTAAAGTTTAAAGGTATTAAAAATATATGACAAACGTACTCCACAATTCTATAAAAATACAATTTTCAATATAAGAAAAAACTAGTTAACCATTTGTACTTTGAGATACAGTTGATTCAAATAAGAATTTTTTTTTTCAATAAGTAAAAATTATATATTTTTAAAATTTTTCATCTAGTTTAGTCAATTTTATTTTGTATTTTGCAACATAATCTAATCTGCTTTTTTAGAACACCCGTAGTCAATCCTCATTGAAAATGAGACTACCCAAATTTAGATCATTCTCTGTTCTTTTTTGAAACACAGTCTCCGTCTTTGCACTTTTTTGGCTTTAAATTTAATTACACGTAGCTTCATATCAATTTAAGCCTGCATAACATATATGATGCCTACATTTTGAAAAAATATCCATACATTTCGTTCTGAATTATGGAATGAAAATCTATTCAACGAACACAACGTTCCATATTTTGCTATTTAGTGACATCAGCAGTAGATAACTAAACCCTAACAAGCAGTGAGATTTGTCTGAGAAATTATGAGTTCTTAATTTTCTGGGTAAGTATACTCCCTCCAATAGAACATCCCAACAGCAGGTTAGCAACATAGAAATGCATGCTTCAAATCATCAAGCTAATTCCTACTGAACAGAATGGTTATTACTCGAAGAAAAGATAAATTAACCTGATTCATACAATAATCCCCACAAGGACAATAGCCAGGAGTGCACTCTGTGCTTGTCAGGACATTCAGGCAATGTTCTCCACATGCACTGTCTTGACGATTTGGATTAATCTGACAGTCACATATAGCTATATCCTCTTCTTTTTGCTTTGCCTGCCTGAAGTAATAAGATATATGAAAGAGTAAGTAATAAAATTATCAGTAATCAGTACATGACATGGAACAAGCAATGTATAATAATGATGCTGCAAGCACCACCTTCATAGGTATCAGCAATTTCATTCTATAAAATACATAATTTGATCATATTTCAGATGGCTGATTCACATGCGAAGCGCCGCCATAGGGACACTCCCAAGGAACTAGAAAAAAGCTATAAAACTTATAAATTATTACACTTGCAGGTCATACTTTTAAAGAGTAAAAATAATAAACATCACAATTAGGACTATTGATGATATAATCTTGAGTTTGTCCAACCCTAACTTAAGATCAACTCAGAAGCATGCAATTTTATCCTGACAAGAGCCAAGTTTGATTATAGAAGACCTGATTTAATCTCGATTCAATGCAAACACGACTGGCCAAAGAATGATCCAATTTCGATCAATTTTGATCTTCTAAGACATTTTTTAGTCAAAATAAAAATATACGGTATTGCATATAAACATTAATCAACACAAAAAAAATGCATAGATGTATATAGATATTAATTAAAATCTAAACACATGCATAAATATGAGTACATAAGTCAATGTAGAAACATACCAATATGATCTAGATCTAACTCGATTGAGCAAGCCTCGACTTAATTTAAGTTTAATCCAAGCATGGTTTAGCATTTGAATAGGCTCACTGACAAATATCCAAGCCAAAATTCAATCTGATTTTTTAGCAATTTTCAATATGAAGACCAAATAACATCATTCCGGGGCTCTACCTTTTAGGAAGCGGATCTAGCAGGGAGGTAGTTCTAGAATAACAAGGAAATGATAATACGCAAAGTTGTCGGCATTTGGACAGGGATAAGAGTCGTTCGCCGGCTGTCTGAACTGAAAACAGCAAGACAAACGATGAAACGACGAAGCATGGACGACCTGGAGGACCACCTATTCCTACAAACACATTACTTGCAAAAGAAAGAGAATAAAGCAATCCTTACAGGAAAAATTAGAAAATACAACCTCCAAAACACGTAAAATAAAACAAAAATCCCTCGAACCTGAAAATAACATATCAATAGCTTTCTCAAAATAACACTAATTCAAATTAAAATAAAATAAAAATTGGGCCTACAATGGCCTAACGGTGGCAAATTAGCTAAAAAATCTCGTTGTCGTAGATACATAATGGAAATCCTATCTCCCGCACATCTCACATATGCGGGATTGCGGATTCGCGGAATCACAGAATCCAGCAAAACCAGGATCGTGGAATCCCATGCGGGAGAGCTCCTGCATCATTCTCTCTAGCTAGGAAAAGCTTCTTCTTCTTCTCTAGAAACATCTAAATCCCACTGTCTAATGCTCTTTCTCACAAAACACCTAGGGAGATTTTTAAAATTGGGGTCACTACTGCCTGGTTATGCGTGTGAGTGTGTTGCTATATTGAATTGAAGCTTAGTACCTAGTTTACTCTATAGACACTTCCAAAAATAACTCAAAAATTTCTCATTTTATGATGACAAGTTGAACACCCCTTAGCAGTGGCAACCTAGGAAAAAAACTATAGATCATAAAATCTTGAAACCCTCTTAGCAAGGGTCATCATGTGTCTGATATCGACTCATCAAACTCATTGTCTTCTTGGACAACCAATGCTAATATTATTGATGCATCTCTAATGCCTATAAAAGATAATTTGAGGCACTATATCCTCAAAATCTATATGAATGTGCATTACATCAAACTCCTTCCAAGGCTAGAGTACAATATGTCCCCAACTTTTATAAAAGAATATGTTCTTGTAGCCATCATGATGTAAGCAATGATCAACTGTTAATGGCCTAATAGTATATTACAAGCATCCATAAGTACCAGATCATGTCACACTTGCTCACTTTCTTCAGCCAGGATAGAAAATAAATTTGGGTTTGCTTCTGTGTGGTCAGGTTCAAGTTTTCGATCATTTGGGTAGACAACAAATTCTCAAAATTGTTTGCTTCTATAATAAGATTGCATATACTTCCCTTCATGATGAAACATGTATGAAAGAAATTGTGGTGGAGCCATGGATGCTCTCTTGTGAGCTCAGTCTGAAGAATTCGACGAACAACTAGCATCACTCCCACATCAGTTGGTAGTTGATAACTCATTTTTGCGATTCTCATTTTTTCATGTGTCGTTTTCCATTGCTTCAATTGCTCCTTGCTCTGTAAAAAAAAAATCACCATCATGCTTAGACAATCGGAAGTAATATCTCTAAAACCATATCGCTTCAAACACTTTCTAACTGGGATAGATTTGATAATACGGGTGGTTTCCACTTTTTCTCTACTCTGGAATGATTTATCCTCAGGAGCGGCCGACTTGGGAATTTTAAAGGGTGCACTATTGTTGTATGACTCTAGAGTTGATCTTTGTCTCTAAAGTGTGATCACCTATTGACGTTGTTCTTCCAATTTCAAAGTTATAGTATGTACATTCAGTAGAGACCAATATGGTTGCAATTGCATCACATTCTTGATATTGTATGTTGCTATGGTTCAATCAACTCATATTTCAATATGAGTTAGTTAAATTCAGGGATGTACACATAACAGATTTTATAACACAGGTTGTGGAGTTTTATGAATCTATGATGTCAGTAACATAGGGGAAAGCATTTGCGCTTCATCTCCCTTTATATCTTATAAACCATGTAGTTTCCTGCTATCAAAGACATTTCAAGTTCTCCTATCACAAAAAAATAAATTTCCTAAGAATGATGACTATCGATTTAACTCTCTTATTTTGGAGAACATTTTTATAGTAAAAAATTTATTCAACTGTTTGGAGCCACTCAAAAAATTCATCCAGATCCAAACGTCCATCAAAATCTTTCAAGTCATCTTCACTCAAAAATTATGATTTCTATTATATTTTATGTCAAATTATCAGGTTACTGATTCTTCATCACAGGAAACTTTCTGATGAAAGAGAATCCCTTCTTCCCCTTAACCCAGTGACCTCTTTGTATTGTCTCTTCTAAAAAGCAATAGATTTTGTTACAATAAAGGATCTCCGTTGCATGTCTTGCATTGCAAACTCTTGAACATCTATTTGCATGTTTCTCCTAGGTGAAATAGTGTGCTCTTCTTCTCACGATCAAGGTTTCGGCGGTATTGAATTGGAAAATGATTTAAATCATGTAAATTTTCGGTTTTGTCGTAGGAAAGATGGATAACTAATAATTATGGATTTGTCGGACTCTGATACCAAAGGATATTGCTCTATGGCTCCAAAGAGAAGTTTAGAAAGCGGATTTAGCAAGGAGATGGTTCTAGAATAGCAAAGAAATTATAATATGTGAGGTTGACGGCATTTGATAGGGGATAAGAGTCGCTTAGCATCTATCAGGACTAAAGCCAATGAGAAACTCCACATGTTCCTGAACAAGCTACGCATTCTACTTGCAAAAGCAATATGATGCAACACCACTTAGGACAAAAATCAAAGAATACTATCTCCAAACACACAAAACAAAACAAAAGCCCCATAAACAAAAAAAAATTACTGAAATTTAGCAGGATAATTTTATTAATATAAAAAGGGGTATAAATATAGAATACAAGTGTTAAAAAAAAGGAAAGTCATAACACCCATATCTCTTGGATTAAATTAATTTTTAATAACTACCTAGAGATAACAGAAAAGTCATAAACTAGGAAATACATAAACAAGGAAATAGAAAAATAAGGAAGTATTCGGAAAGGAAAGACATAAACGCCAATAACATGCAACACTCCCCTTCAAATTGAAGCATAGTTGTCAATCATGTTCTACTTGGATTTGAAGTTGTTAAACAACATGCGAGGAAGAATCTTTGTGAGAATATCAGCCAATTGTCCAGTAGATGGAACAAACGGAAGATAGATCTCCCCGGAATCAAGTATCTCCTTCATAAAGTGATGGTCAATTTCCACATTCTTTGTAAAATCATGTTGGAAAGGATTTTGAGCAATAATAATGGCGACTTTATTGTCACAAAACAACTACAGATGAGCCATAATCGACATACGTAACTCGGTGAACATAATGCACAACCAGAGGGCTACACACATCCCTAAAGTCATAAAACGAAACTCGGCTTCAGCACTACAACGAGCAATCACGAACTTTTTTTTTTTACTTTTCCAAGTGACAAGATTCCCCCAAATGAATTAGGAATAACCTGAGGTAGATCGTCTATCATGGACGGACTCAACCCAATCAGCATCGGTATAAACTACAACAGAGCAGGAGTTGAAACGACTGAATAACAAACTTGAGCCCAATATTTCTTTTAAATAGTGGATGATTGGATGAACCACGATGAGATGGTGCTCATAAGGGTCATGCATAAACTGAATGACAATACCCACGATTTGACAAATGTCTAAGCGAGTATGGGCGGGGTAAATGAGCTTACACGATGCATTAGTGGTAGGTTTTGTTCATTGGGCCGGCATTGGGAACATCTAATAATTTCTCATTTGGGTCCATTGGGACAGCAACTGATTTGAAATGGAGAAGCTTGGTATCAGTCAATAAATCCATCACATAATTTTGCTGGGAAAGGCAAATGCCCTGCGAAAACCGGGCTACTTCAATGCCTAAGAAATTCTGGAGAGACCCCATCTTTCATTTCAAAAGATGCAGTGAGGAAGCCTTTGAATGACTCCAAGGCTGGCATATCATTACCTGTGAGCAAAATGTCTTCGACATAGATGATGAGGATGACAATACGACAGTTGGATGAATGCCGAAAAAATAGTGTATGATCATATTGGGCTTGAGGGAACCCATGGCCCACTACCACCTGAATGAACTTGACGAATCAGGCCCATGGGGATTGCTTCAATCTATGGAGAACTTTCGCAATCGGCACAGTTTCCCATGGGAAGAGATCGAGCCAAATCGGGAGGGTGGAGAGAGACATATAAACCTCATCAGCGAGATCATCATTAAGGAAAGCATT